CCCTAGTCTGGGCTTTATCAGAGGACCACAGAGGAAGAGGAGACACTCTGCTCTTCTTGTCGCATTACTGTGCGGGCTGCAATAAAGTGGGTTAGCCTCTCAGGGCCAGGATTTTCCCTCTGGTAGGGTTGCCTTGACATCCTTAGTGTAGAGGTTTTCATAAGGGCCTGCTCAGTAGAGCTGTTAACAATAGAGCAAGAGCAATAATAATAATAATAATAATCCTACAAGTGTAATCCAGGCTGAGGCAGCAAGAAAGTAAGGCCACACGAGATAGTCTGCTGGGTTTTCCCGGACACGGGACGAACAGAGCTACACGATGCCTTCTCCGTGTGCTGCCTCACAGTGTCCTGAAATAGCACCGAATTTGAAGTAAGAAGATGTGGTTTTAGCATTGGTTCAACAGCTGCTTCGCTGTGTGACCTTAGCTAAGCTATCGAACCTCTCTGAGGCTCAATTTCCTCACTTGTAAAATGAGGATGACGACTCTGCCTCAGCAATTATGGGATGGCAATGAGATGAACGCCTGGGAAAGGTATTTCACATGGAAAAGTTTGTCTCCCATCGAGGAGATTGTTGTTGTTCGTTGTTGTGACTTAACCCTTTATAAAAGGATCTGCTTGATAGGTCTATTATCAGGCAGAGAGTTTTATTAGAGTTTATATTTTTGTCTCCTGCAAGGTAGCTCCCTATTCTGTCTACCAAATAGAAAATTGCTACATTGGTTTTTTTTTTGTTGTTTTTTTGGTGGTGGTTTGACACTTAGGTTTTCATCTTAATAGTATGTTTACTTAAATATTTCAGAGCCTCTTAGCATTTCAAAAGAATGCTTTTAAAAATTAGCTGCGTAAAAACCAGATGAGTAAATAGAGGCACAATTGCTTACTTTCCTAGGCTTGGCAGTTGTCTATTGAATTGCACACATACAGGCAGAGGGAACAAACAAAAAATAATAAAACGCATCAGCTTAGGAAGAGAAACAGGAATTACCTATACATTTGCTGATCAGTGCTGGGCCTTGGTGGTTAATTTTATCCCACCCGAGAGCTGAGTACGGAAAGGACAGGTCCGGGGAAAGCTTTTGCCATCCTAAGTAGTGGTTCAGAAGACTTCTCGGCTTCGATCTGATAGTGTTGTTATAAGACCTATGGTGATGGGGCTCCCTACAGCTTTGCAAAGCGGAAAGCAGGAGTTTCTCACTGACTTGGAATTCTAGATCTTGACTTCTGTGTCTTTTCTTTTGTAATGTTACAGCCCCACGGAGGTTTGGTTCTAAAGGACATTTGATTAAAATGTTATTTTTAGCAAATACATAATTTCCTACATTAAAATTCAAAAACCCAAGAGGGCAGCTTAGACTTGTAACCGTGCGGTGCTGCCGGCCACTGGTGTCCAGCGAAACCCGAACAAGAAGGCAAGAGGAAAAGAATCCAGCCCAGGAATTGAGTCCCAGTCTTGAGAAAATGATGTTAAAGCCCTGGTCTCCAAATATTCTACCTTCCCTGGTGCTCACAGGGTTCACGGCCCCTCTCCAGGACACCCATTGTCCAAAGTGACATGTCCTTCTGCAGACCGGGGAACCGCTCTGGAGATGGACCCTGGCCCAGATGTCAGGCGACAGGCTGTAGAGGAGGAGGAGGTGCTGAGTTTGCTGCCTTGCTCAGCGCAGGCCTAAATTTGCTGTGATGTGATTCAGTGCTGCCTAGGACACTGAATATAGCCGCAGCTCTGAGTCAGCTCCGGCCCACCCTTGTGGCTCTAGACACTGTGTGGGGCCCGGTGGTAGACATGGGCACCAGAGTCTCGGGAGGACTCGCTGGCCCCTCATGTCAGGTGGATGTCCCCATTAGGCCTCACCCCTTGTCACACTAGTGCATGCTTCCAAAGAGACGCCGGCCCAATTGGCAGAAAACCAAAAGTCTTTATTGTCTGTTGAGTTTGAGTAATGGAGAGTTCTTCCTGGTTAATTTAGATTAATAGAAGTTTAGATTCATCTATTAATTAGGGGTTTACCATATAGAGCATTTGTACATTTCCAGTTTTGAAGGGATCGAAATTTATTTACTATTTGCTTACTGTGCTTCTGGTGCTTAGGTCCATATCTTAAGGTGTTTGGAACACCCGAGAAGCAATGAAGAAGCCTCCATCAAGAGGGAAGCTGGGATTCAGGGGAGAGAGCTGTGACCACAGCTGATTTTCTGGATGACGTGAGGTGTCTGGGGGGGCCTTGGGGACCAGCAGGGTTCACCTGCGGGGGGAGGGAAAACAAACAGGAATGGCAGGGAGATGAGAGTGTGAGCACAGTTCATACCAAAACAAGAGAGGAAGTAAGTTCATCGTTGCCTGGTCAGAAAGCTCTTGAGGACATTGCAGAACGCCAGGATCTTCTAGATCATGGAGGGCAATGTGAGCCAGCTGGTCACCGAGCCTCTGGGAGAAGAATGTGTCCACGGCCTTCATTTCAGTTCCTGCATCTCCCTGTGGAGACATGGAAACTAATATATTTTTTTAAGTTGCAAAAAAACAAAAACAAAAAATACCTAGTGTGAGACAGTGCTTTCTTGTGGGACTAGTGAAAGCCCCAGGGTGTCTGCATCCGGGCAGGGGCCCCAGCCTCTCCTCCCCACAGCTGTCCCTCCCTCTCTTGCCCCACAGGAAATAGCTTTATGCCTCAGCCTGAAAAATGGCACTAATAATGGGTCCCCTCGTGTAAATAAAACCGCATCCATGGTAAGCCCTATGCATACTATCCCTTATACTCTCTGGAAGAAAAGATTAAAATAGTTTCAAAGAAATATTATGACAATTACATATGCCTGGAGACAAGGGATATTTTAATTCATTGATAATTTCATAAGTCCTTTGTGTTATCTTAGCGTTGGAAGGGACATTCCAGTTAGAATTGGAAGAGGATAATCTACTGCAGAAATCTTGGGCTTTGGGATCAGAAAGGCTTGGCCTTGAATTCTGAATCAATCACGATCTGTACCATCTTTCCTTCCTTCATTAAAGAGATACACACTAGCCTCCTGAGTTATAGATCATCTAAACTCTTGGAGCCTCAGTTTCCTCATCAATAAAATAAAGATTAAAGTATAAATCTCTCAAGGTTGTGATAATGTCTAGTAAACATTAGTAGTAATGTCTAATAGTAGACCTTCAATGAGTATTAGTTATCTTCCTCCAGTTAATAGATGAGGGAGTTAAATAAGCCTATTTAAGAAGCTTAAAGTGTGTGATAGGAGAAAAGACGGGGCAGACAGACTTCAGCTAGTGTTAGAGATGGGATATCAATGAGCTGAGATTGTTTGGATGGGGAGGAGAGGGCTTATCAAAGGATTAGGGCCATAGAGGTTGAATGCAGAGTATGGCTCTTGGTCTGTGCTACAGTGGGTGGCCTGGAAGCAAACAGGATGATATGAGGTGACACAAGGTGTCCCGAGTCAAACCTCACCTTCTTGACCACTTAGTTTAGCATTGGTTTTGGGGGGAAGGCACATGCATGCATGCACCAATCCTTTCATTTATTCATTTATTAAAGAAATGTTTATTAACCTCCTCCCGTGTGTCAGGCATTTCCTAGCACTGGGGATGCAATCAAAGAGCTCACAGAGAGTGGAGAAGAGAGACAACAGACCTTGTGAATCAGTGTGACAAAAAAACAACATAGTGTTAAGATGTATGCCTGAGTGCCTCATGAGGGTTGCACAGAACTGGGGGCCGGTCCCCGGTTTGCTGCTGGCTGGCTGGGGTATCTTAGGGAGCAGGATCCACCCCCTCAGCCTCCATGTCCCCTCTGCTTACTGGTTTGAGGATCCATTAAAATCATGTGCTGAGAAGCTCTATGGATCTAGATTATGTTATATAAACGCACATTTTAACATATTAATCATCAAGGAATCCATCCTACTTATCACACCAGGTCTGGCCTTCTTTTTAATTTTCCTGTAATCAATAGTATCTGATACACACATTTTATCATCTGTCCTGTCTTTCTTGGTCCAGCTTCTTGTCAATGAGAGCCTCTTTGACTCTTACCTTCTAGTTCTTTCTACCAACGTGGTTGAATCCATGCCCGTGGTGTGTCCTGTGGAATTGCAGGGAAGACCAAGAAGGTTTTAAAGTGCCTTTGGAAAGGGGTAAAAGAACTGATCACTAGTGAGGAGAAGAGTGAGGCATGCAGAGGCAGAGCGGAGAGTAGAAAGAAAGATCACAGCAGGGACGTGGGGGGTGGGACAGAGACGGAAATGGCAATAAAACCTAGAAGAATAGAAGGGGCTGAGAGCAAAAGGCGGAGGAAGAGACAGATGCAGCCCTCCAGCTGGCGGAGGAGAGGAAAAGGTGCCTCCCATCTTAAACAGCTTATCTCCTCTATCTGCAATATTTCTGCTGATGTCTGAATAGAGAGAAAAATGTGTGTGTGTGAGTGCGTGTGTTTGTTAATAACAGCCATCTATTTATAGGTCTTAAATTATACACCATGAAAGCCTCTCTGAGACAAGATGTGTTATTTGGCTGCCAGAAGGAAAAGTTAAAGAAGAAAAAAAAAAAGCTTCTTGATTTCTTTCTTCCTTTTCCTCATCCCCTCTGTCCACCAGAGTCTTATGGTTAATGACAACTGTCAACTCTGTGTTTTGAGCGATGAAAAAGAGTTTGTTGAAGATATTTCTCCAAGAGGAGGGGACTCTGCGGTTTTCCTAAAAATGATGTGATCCACAAATCACGTCCTTTCCCATCTGAATTGGAAGGGCCACCAGACGGCATCTCTTCCAACTCCTTGTATTTCAGGCTGAGAGACTGAGGCCTAGAGGGTTGTCCTGCCCAAGGTCACCCAGCAACCTGGTGACCAAAGTATCCGCTGGTTCGGTCCAGTGCTCTTCTTACTGGGGTGTCCACAAAGCCATTGTTCCTCACTTCAATTCCAATGAGTCCAGTTCTCTCACTCGTTTATGAAACCAAGCAGATTCAGTTTACTTTTTCCTCTGATTCCATCTTTCAAGAGCACTGCCTCAGTCCCCTGATGACTTCGAGATGACCTTCAGGGAAAAGGAATTTCATACATGGTTCTAAGTTCAAGGTCAGGTAAGATAGAGTAGTTAAGAACAGGGGCTTTGGTATCAGATTGGGGTCTTCCAATTCCTAATTGTGACTTCAGGTAAGGTACTCAATCTTAATGCCTCAGTTTCCTCATCAGTAAAATGAGGACAAGAATAGAACTACTCATAAAACTGTTGTGGAGAATGAAGGAGGTAATATATACATAAAGCGCTTAGCAAAGGGCTGGAATACGGTAGATCCTTAATCATATTTTTTATTGTCACAACATTCTAATGGGTTAGAAAAGCCAGGACTCCAAGGATAAGAGTCTTGAATGTGACCCTCAAATGAGTGGCTGCACCTTCTTAAAAGATCTTCAGGTACAGGATGATGGGGGGTGATGAAGCCCAGAAGGTATTCTGCCAGGCCAGTCTATGGATAATCTAATCGGGATGTCCATCAAGGGAGAAAGACCAGGGCAGGAGGACTGGGGGGAAGTGACCAGAGGCAGTCAGTGAGCACTGGAGGAGGGCTGGACCTCTGAACTTGACATGGGAAAGAACCCATGTCTTCTGCCCTTCTCTCTTCTCTCTCAGCCCTGAGGGGGTGTCGGTTTTGAGCTCCTACTGTATGCCAGGAGGAAGGAGCACTTGCCAAGCTCTGTCGCCTAAGATACCTTCCCTCACCCCACATGCCAGTCCTCCAACCCCCATCCACGTAGGATGTAAGATTTGGCTTATGGCCTGGCGCGGTGGCTCACGCCTGTAATCCTAGCTCTCTGGGAGGCCAAGGCCGGCAGATTGCTTGAGGTTAGGAGTTTGAAACCAGCCTGAGCAAGAGCGAGACCCCGTCTCTACTATAAATAGAAAGAAATTAATTGGCCAACTAATATGTATAGAAAAAATTAGCCGGGTATGGTGGCGCATGCTTGTAGTCCCAGCTACTCGGGAGGCTGAGGCAGGAGGATTGCTTGAGCCCAGAAGTCTGAGGTTGCTGTGAGCTAGGCTGATGCCACGGCACTCACTCTAGCCTGGGCAACAAAGCGAGACTCTGTCTCAAAAAAAAAAAAAACCTTTGGCTAGAGATTTAACATTTCCTTTTGTGAAATATTTATGACTGTTATTTTATCTCTTTCAATGACTCTTCCGTGATTTGAGAGCAGATTATGATCACCATTTCAGAGAAGTCAAATGTCTTGCCCAAGATTCCGTGTTCAGTAATTGCCGTCTTGCGTCCTAAGGAGAGGGTGCTCTCTCCACTCCGTCACCTGGTCCCACCCGGCACCTTCAACCTCTCGTCTCACTGCCACACCCACATTCAGAGGCACAGCCACACGCACTTTTAAAAATCACCGGAGCATTATGTATTAAGAATATCTGGCTTAGTGTTAAGCTGAACAATACATTCTATTCTTTTTTCTTCTCTTTTCACAGGGGACCACAGGCTCTAAAATTCAAGTTCAAGCAGGTCTGTTAAGGGAGATCTAAATGAAGCCTGGTATTAAAACCTAGCCTTGAAGCAAAACATTCCATTCTTCATCCTCTGTAAACAATCCAAGGACAGGGTTATCATCTTGTATATTTTATCTCCTACAGTATTGATGACAGTGCTTAGTCGGGCTTCAACAAGTGTAATAAAGGGAACTGATTAAAAACATCTTAGGGTGGGAGCCAGGGAAGGGGAGGTCTCTTGGGAGGCCCCAAATGTTGATATGGGCAGGGATGTAGACAACATTAACAGGTATTTACTGACCACGTGACTCTATGTAAGGCGTATTACAAACACTAATTCTAATTCTCAGAACAACCCCAAAAAGGTGGATATTGTTCCTATTTTACAGTTGTGGAAACTGAGGCTTAAAGAGGTTAAATAATCTGCCCGATTCGCTGAGTAGGTATGAGGCAGAGCGAGCGGGAAATCTAGAATTCTCTCATTTTGTGTGATTTCGTGTGGCTCCAACGTCTTCAGGCCGCTGCCTTTCGTTACATTGGGTCCAGTGCAGTGCCCTGGCCTCTCAAAATATATTTCCTTCCCTTGTCAAAGTCAAGGTCGTTCCATGAGCATGCACACACCTGTCCGTGTGTGGGGTGCGGGGCGGGCTGTGCTCAAACGCCCCTCGGACCTGCTGACCGTCCCCGCCCAGCCTCAGCAGGGGGTGCCACTGGCGGCGGAGTTGGCGGGCTGCGTGGGAGCCACCGCGGGGCGGACTTGCAAAGCGGGAGGGGGCAATCCTCCGTTTCTAAGCCAGGCGCTCAGAGCTGTCGTCAAGGAAGGATCGAGGCCTTCCTTTTATGGGAGGCCTCCTGGCAGCAAGTGCCGCCTTGAGCAGCGAGCCTGACAGTCTCCCTAGCCCATTCGAGCTTGGGCAGCTTTGGGAACGAGGCCCCGGGGAGTGGGGCAGGAAGCGGGGTGACCTGGAACTTCGTGGGCGGGGCCTTTGCCGGAAAACCTGGCAGAGACGTCACGGAGGAGGCCGTGCACAGCAAAGCCCCGGAGCTGAGCTCAGCAGCTGAGCCCTGGGATGGGTGCCCTGCCCTCCAGAGTTGTCCTCTCCAATCCGTCCTCCAAGCGCCACCTGGGAGATGGTCCCATGTTGCCACAATTCCGCCTAAATGTCCTTCAGTGGCTCCGTGTCACCGATTGGACAAAATCCAGCTGGTTTTGCCTGGCAGGAGAGGCCTTTGTCCTCATCTGGTCTCCACCTACTTTACCAGTCCTTTACCCAGGTCCCTCTCTGGCCATCCCCAAGTTCTTGTCTGCCCCAGAGCTGAGCAGACCCTGCTGGGCCTCAGTGCCTTTGCACATGCTGTTTCCTCTGTCTAGAATACCACTCTCTCGCAATGCCAAAATCACCATTGGCCTGGATGTGGCACACAGAGTTTTAGTGCAAGCATTTCAAATCGAGACGAGGGCATCCCTCCCACCAGCTTGTCAGTTACAACTCCACCCGCCTCCTTGCTGAGCCCCCAGCCGGCCACAACCCCAGAGGAGCTCGACTTCAAAGACAGAGGTGGAGTGAGTATGTTTCCAGTGTAGACTGTGCCCTTCTCCACCCAAAAAATTGCTGATGAAAAATGCCAGGCCCCAGGACAGCACCCCGTAATCTCCCTTATCTCATCTTACCCTGAACCTCCCCAGGGAGAGTGAGGGCTGTGATGTTAAAATCAAGTTTGAGATCTGAGTTTTAAGCTCAAGTGATTGTTTACATTTGTGAATGGTGAAACCCAACCCAAAATCTTAGGAAGGAAAGAGAAAAGGAGATGGAAAAGCAGTTTTTATGTGGCAAAATCGAGACTTCCCCCAAACTGGCTACATCTGAATCTCATTTCTGATGTTGACTGATAGCCAGTGTCCTTGTCCCTTCCCTGTCTCAAGTATATGTGGAGAGGTGTCCTTCAGGGGTTATATAAACGGCTGCATGTACAACACCTACTTCCAGGGCTCATGATTCATTGTAAGCTTTCATGTAGGTTTCCCCTTGGTATTACAAACAACTGGTGCATATCTGTGCTGACTAAAGTGCCTTCCTTATCTCATGCAGTCCTTTCAACTACACCAGGGCTGTTGGATTACACCCATTGTTACAGATGAGGCCCTGAGTTATACAATCGGCTCAAGGTCCAAAAGCTGGTAAATGCTGAGACTATCAGCCAAAGACACTCCAAAGAGTATGACTCCCAAGTCCATACTCTTTCCACTATATCACTGTTGAATTTAGTTCGAAAGAAGCATTTATTAAGTGCCCACTGTGTACAAGGAGCTGCGCTGAGAGCCAGGAAATCTTAAAATGGATTCTCAATTCTTACCTCGGTGCAGCTCACGTTATGCTGGGGGAGGTATACCCTAGCAAGTTAGTGCAGTGGGGTGCGGCAAAGATTTGGAGCAATGGGAGCACAGGGTAGGGACACTGAAACCTACCAGGAAGGGGCAACACCTGAAATAAAGAGCTGAGTTTTAAGGGTGAGTTTGCTGAGGTGGAAGGCATGGGGTAGAAGGATATGTTTTCCAAGCAGAGACCACCGAGGGGCCCAGGCACTGTCTCTGCATTGGTGCAGCCCTGCCTGGTTGAATTTTCACCTCCCTCCTTCCTACTCTGATGAAATTACCACTTGTTCTCTGGTCTCAATCTGGGCCAATGTCATATTTCTCTGTGTGTTTTTAGTAAGTTTCTATCTCAAAGTAAGGAACAGAACACATTGTCCAAAAGAAATTTTAGGAGCTCCCTGGTGAGGGAAGGAAGATGGGGGAAGATTATTTTAAAGGGGAGGAGGTCCATTTCCTGGATCCTAGAAATTGTACCACATAGACTGATACCTGTTGTACCTGCCCCAAGGCTGGTCCTGCAAAATGCTGTAGGAGAAGCACAGGTGATCACAGTGGCAAGGGCACGTACGAGCCTGTGCTAAGGTTGATGAAAGGAAAAGGAAGGGCATTTCCCCTCACAAAAGCTCTGTGTAATCAGAAGCTCAATTTGCTCAGTGATGTTTGGGTTTTATAGCTACCACTTATAGCTATAAAAAAGGTTTTACTTTTGAAAGTCCTGTAGGAAAATTAAATTTTTTATTAACAGGCTGAATTTCTCTGGTCCTGAACTACTAAAACAATTATTACTGTGATGTGCTTTTTGAACTCAAGGTTTCTTAGACACACAAAAAAATGTTATAACTTACATACTAGAGCCCAATCCTGAAATTGCTTTACAAATCCTTTGAGAAGACAAAATATACATGAAATAATTAAAATCATCCAATATTGCTCACTAAGAACTATTGCATGTAACCACTTTTAACCTCTAATCATCTGAGTGCTGGGTTCATATATGTAAATATTATATTTTGCGATGTGGGGCACACCTGTAACTGTAGTCTGTCCCCACTGCTATTGTCCAGGATGCCGTCCCAGCACAGCCTGCATAAGATCCTTCCTCTAAACATTGCTATAAAAATTTATTTGGAAGGCCAGCAGGCTGAGATGGCTGCAGCGCCTTGGGTTCCTATGTGAGCAAACTGAAGCCCAATGTAAACAGTAAAACAAAACTTAAGCGTAACCCATCAGAAACCTCCAGCAAACCTCTAGCTAGGACTTTCCATCAGATCGTGCCCAAATAAGGCAAATACTTTGCTTTAGCCAATCAAATGATTTCCTTACTTTGCTCCCGAGTTCAGCCTACAAAAGCCCACTGCTCACCCTGCCAAAGCAGAACACATTGAACCTCTTCTGGTCTTGAGTGCTGCCTGGGAACACTTCCTTCTGATCCCTCTGCCCTGCCTGTCTTTGCGTCCCTTTCCTCGCTCTCCATATCTGTGAGATATGTTCCCGGACCAGCTGCCCAGAGCCAATCCTGCAATCTAATCTTCCCCTGCTGAAGTCTGACATCGCCTGGTGACCCTTCATCAGAAGCGTCAGCCTCACCCACGGAGGCAAAGCCCCTTTGCCTACTGAAGGGTTTCCCAAACGTGTCTAATCGTGAGAATTGCAGAATGCATGTCTGAAAGCCAGGTTCCAGGGCTGTGCCCAGGCCGAAGGAATCTGCTGATAATGCCAGGGTGAAGAATTCTGGCCTGGCTTAAGGTCACTGCAATATTGGCAGGTGGGTGGCAGGATTGGGGAGAAGCGTTAGGAGCTGGTCTGTGTGTACGAATTAAGAAGTCACATCCTCCCATCTCTCTCCTTCGGGATACCAGGGTAGTGTTGATTCTGGAGAATGGGGGGAGGTGGGAGGGGGGCCAGAACCCAACCAAAGCTCAGCTGAATGGCTCATGAGGTCTGAATCAGCCGGAAGCAACTGCTCTGAGCCCCAGAACCCATGTCTCAGTTCCACCTGGCATCACCAATTATCTGTGCTTCTGACATAGGGGTTTTTTTTTTTTTATTCCCTCGAAATAGAGCTATAATTAAATCCAAAATTGTACTGGAGACGTTATCGTCATGGCAAAAGCAGAACACAATGTCTGCAGACAAAAAAACTCTTTCAATAAAAATTAATCATGTGCAGCTCACGTCCCAGTCCCGGTGGCAGTGTGAGGAATGCATGTGAGGGCGTGGGGAGGAGCCCCACGGGGGCACTGCCAGGCCACCTCCCCTGCTGTCCTGGGGCTCCCGCTGCACGACCCCGCTCCATCACATGGACCCCCGTGCACAGCCCTCCCTCTGTCCCAGTAGCTGCTTGTTCTCTGCAGTCCCGTGGGTCCTGGCTCCTTTTCCCCCCACTTCAGGGTCTGAGAAATTGAAAGCAGCCGTAGACAGGGCTGAGCGAGGGAAGAGAAGACAAAGCACAAGGGAGAGGGTGAACGTGTGATCTGTTGCTCCCATTAAATCTTTTGCTTTCAAGAGGAAAACTTCTCACTGACAGGGGGGATGTAAGAATTCTGCTGGCAGAACGAGCCTCTGCTTCCCGCCACAGGGCGTGTGCCGGGTAACCGCTTCTGTTCTCTGTCTCTGCCGGGAGCCCATGCCACACGATACCCATGTGACAAAACCCGTTACAGCCCCTGCCCTGGGACCTTGTCTTGCCTGGCATCCAGGGCTCCAGTCCAAATGTGCAGTAGAGTCGGATAAGGTTCCAACGGTGGACAAGCCTGGGGGCAGGGCAGTAAGTGCAGTGAAACATCGGGCACAGTTTGAGAGGGAAGCCAGGGTGGGAGCCTCTCACCCCGTGAACTAGTCACCAGATTTGACTGGGAATTAGGAAAAGGACTTGTAAAAACTGGAGGCTGTGCGGAGCGGGGTTGGATACCTTCCGATTCATCTAAGGAAGGAAGTAGTGACAGAAGAGTGGGAGCCCAGCATAAGTGGCTCGCTTAGTATCCAGAGTTTCTTCCTGCATTTGATAGGGTCTTCACCCTCCATCTGCCTGGGGGAGGGTCCCTCTGGACCCCACTGAAAACTATGGTCGGGGCTCAGTCCCTCAGGTGCTGCAGTATGGCATGCTCACCCGGGGCTCTATGGGTGCCCCCAGGAGCAGACGAGGTCCCAGTGGAGCGTGAGAACCACCTCTGGCTTGGTAAAGGGTTGGGGGCAGGAAACTCTGCAGGGTCATAAACTGCTGGGAGGTGGTGCCAGCAGGGGGATGTCACTAGAGAAGCTTTTGGGTGTCAGGTGACCAAAGTTGTCCTTCACCTCCAAATATCTTCAAGATATTCCCAAGGACTCATGGCATGGGCGGCAGATTGAATGAGATGCTCCTCCAGTGTAAGGTTTGGTGATTCTGTTGAGTCAGCCAGCTTCTCCTCAACTGGTCTTGTGTGGAGCAGCACAATTTTATTTTCTGATGGTGACACTCCATCTCCTCTCCAGCATCACAGACCTTGTGACACACAATTTGTTCTAGCCTCACTAAGGTGGGCAAACATAGGCATAACTGTTCTGCCATTTATTCCATAATGTTTTTTCCCCTCTTCATTTCTGCTGAGACAAACTTTTCCCCACCCACCCCCAATTTCAAAGCATATGAAAAGCCCAGATTTCTTGGCCTGGGAAGAGTGGAGGCTTGCATTAACTCAGGTGATTAAAACTCTGCCAAGGCTCCCTGACACTGAGAATTAAACAATGATAGCCACTATCCACACTTATGGTCAACGTTGTGTTGCAGGTCCCAGCCAGGGCAAGAAGACAAAACAAGAAAATATGAAGATTGAAAAGGAAGAAATAAAGCTGTCCTTATTTGCATGTGGCGTAACAGCTTATGTAGAAAATCCCAAAGTATACAGATACTCTATTTGGATTAGTAAGTAAAACTAGCAAGAATGCTGGATTCATGATCAAGATAAGATTTGTATTTTATATATTTTGCAATGATTTTCTTTTACTGAAATCTTTTTAACAGTTGCAATTTAAAAAGAATTACAACCCTACAATTCCCATAAATAAATCCTGCCAAATTGTGCAATTCCACTAGATGACAGACTTTGAAACATTACTGAGGCAAATGAAGAGACCTAAACAAGTGAAGGGATAGACGAGGGCTGTCCGGAAAGTATCCAGCCATTGTTAATATAATGAGAACTGTTACACGGCTGGGTACTTTCTAGACAGCTCTCATATACCAGATTCATGAATCAAAATATTGTAAAGAAGTAAATTCTTCCAAGATTGAGCTACAGATGCAACATCATCATAATCAAAATTCCATCATAATTGTGTGTATGTGTACATAAATGGGCAAACTAATTCTAAAATTTATATGACTATGAGAAAGGATGAGAAAGGCAAATCATTCTCGAAGAACAAAAAAGCTGGAGCCCTTGCACCACTGAATGTTAAGATTTATGATAAAGTAATAGTAATTAAGACATGATGGTATTGACACAAGGATAAATAAATAGACTATATAGAGACCAGAAATCGATCAAACATATGACATCACTTGATTTATTACAAAAGTGACAACACAGTGCTATGAGGGAGAAGACAACCCTTTTAGTAAATGGTGCTGAGTTAACTGGATATCTAAATGGGAAAAAAATTTTACCCTATCTTATACACACAAATCAATCCCATATAGATTATAGATCTAAATATGAAAAGTGAAACTACAAAGCATCTAGAAGAAGACTTAGGGAAATATGAGCGTAATCTCAGTACAGAAAACAACTTATTAGATGAAAAACAATATGTATGATCATAAAGGGGAAAATAATCAGAATTAGTAAAACACTAAGAACATTTGTTTATCAAAAATACTATTAAGAAAGAAAATGTAAACCATAGTGTGGGAGAATATATTTATAACATATTGTTATATCTTTTATATTTACAAGTTACATTAAAACCCCCACAAATAAATTATAACAAGATAGATAACTCTTTACCTAGAAAAATGAGTCAAAGGCTAGAATAAGTTCTTCACAAGGATGTTCAAATGGCTTACAACCATTTGAAAAGAACGTTAGCCCTGGTGGTCATCAGGGAAATGAAATTCAAAACCACAATGAGATTCCACTATATACCACCAGGATGGCTAAAATTAAAACATATGGTATTAAATATTGTGAATCTATGGAACCCCTGGATTCTCAAACATTGTAGATGGGGTGTAAATTGACACAACCACTTGCAAAATTGTTTGGTAGTTATCTACTAAAGTGAAACATAATATACTTCATAACCCAGAAACTCAATCCTAGAAATATACCCAACGAAACGCAAACCTATGGGCACCAAGGGACACGCTTAGAGAGTGTTTGTAGCATAACTGTTTGTACTGTCCCCAAACTGGAAACAATCCAAATGTCCCTCACCAATAGAATGGATGAATAAATATTGTTCATACAATGAAATATTATACACACTTTTGCTATTCACAACAAATGGATAAATTTTAAGCATAATATTGAGCAAAAGAAGTCAGACGCAAAAGCATATACAGTATTGTCCCATTTATACAGAGTACAAGAAAAGGAAACAAACTATGCTATTAGAAGTCAGGATAGTGGCTACTGTCAGAGGAGAAGTAACTAGCTGGGGTTACCGTGGGTTTCTGGGGTGCAGGTAATGTACCATTTATTGTTCTAGGTGGTGTTTATTCAGGTGGGGCTTCTGTAAAAATTTATTGAGCTAAACTCCTATAATTTATATACTTTTCCATAAGTATGTTACACTTAAATAGAAAGTTTACTTAAAACAATTAAACCATAGAGGGGACTCCTCATAAGGATATAATTAACACATTTAGTGAAAAGAAAATGTTTAAGAGAGCCTCAGTGTTAGGGTACAGGTTCAGGTGAGCATTGTAGGAAGGCAGACAGGCGACTACCCCCCCTGGTGTGATTGATTGCAGGGTCGTACTCATATTGTGATCACCGCATGGAAGTCCCAGCACCATAAATATATCCATTTCTTTGACATTCAAGATTCTCCTAGAAGGCTTAGACTTTATGCCTTGTTATCAGTTAACATGTCAAGGAGATGTATGGGCTGTCATTGGAGAGATGGCCCAAGCTTCTTGGTTGCAGAAGAGGCCCTGGGAGTTTTAGAGACAGGAGAGAGGACGGGGTGTGAATGGGAGGTGGTGGTGTCCAGGTCCTGAGCTACCAGCCAATCAGGGCAGCCCCTTACTGTGGCCTTCTGGATCAGTCATTTCTTCATTTATTTGCATTCAGCAAACATTTATGGAGATGCTATTTGTCAGCCTTGTAGCAAGTTATACATATGAGCGAGACAGGTGTTGTCTGGGCCCTCTTGTGGCACACAGTGTGGGGGATGGGCACACAAAGCTGGGTTTCTAGCAGGCAGATGGATCAACGTCTCAGCAGGGCAAAGGCCAGGCTGGGCTTCAGGTTCCCAGTCCCCTGAGCCCGGCACCTGGCAGGGCGGTCTGCAGTGGGACCGGCTGGAACCCCTCTCCAACCACGTTGTTCAAGGGGAGCAGGCTCTATCTCAGGGTGTAACTCGGAACATTAAAGGTTACTTTGGTATGGATGAAGGGACCATGGACACACCCATGTCTGGAAAATGGATTCTGGCCAATGTTATGAAATGTTCACAATCTCACTTTATGCCATGATTATAGTGTACTTGCTCTTTGCTGTCACCAGTGAAAAGGGGTTCTTATCAGTGTATTTGTCATTATAGACATTATGTGTATAATCATGGAAATTTGTCACAGATGGAAGAGGAATCATACTCAGGAGGGAGGTATTACCTATCATGAAACACAGGACTAATTCTGGAAAGAACAGACCACAAACCCAGGGCTGGGAGAGCCTTCCCTCACCCTGGCTTTCACGGCCACGTGGAGCCCAACTTGTCTTAGAAATTGAAGGAGAGACCAACTATCAGAGCGCAGAGCTTAATCGGAAGAACCAAATATACTGTGCATCCGTGGGATTCACATTTAACCACGGATCAGTATGCGTTTGGTTCTGTTTTATGTATAATAAACGTTAAGCTCTGGTTTTAATCAATATAATAAAACATAATCATCCTTTTACTTATAAAAAAATCTGTGCCGTTTTCCCATAGGAAGCCAAGGGGGAGTTCTTTGTCTCAACACTTCACACACCCCAGGAGCCTCTACAGCTGGTGGAAGATGCCGAGAGGGAAGGGTCTTGTAAACTGATTTTGGTACGGCGTGAATAAGTCCGCAGTGGCCACCTTCTTCCCCGAGCTGACTCTACAACATCACAAGAGAAAGCTGATCACTCGGTAGGCCTCAACACATTCTTTTATCTGAGTTTTAAGACATTTTGTCAACTCTCTCAACTCTTCAACAAATGCTGAATGAATTCCTTCCCTGTGCCAGGCATCACACCTATGACCACTCCACCGGGGGGAGGGGGGGCAATCCTCCCATGCCACCCACCACTGGCCATGAGGGCCAGCTATATATAGTCCCTAGCCTAAGTCTATGCTCCCAGACTTGTTCTCACTCCCAGAAAATCTATGAAATTTGAGATTCCTTCCTCCGATGTTCATTCTGGATTGTATGAGCATCCGAGTCTAGAGGTAGGACCCTTGCGTTTTCCCACTCCATCATCTCCTACGCAGTGTGCTGATCCTCACCAGCAGGTTGCTGAGCCGATAGCCCTTCTATTAATATATATGCTTGCCGGTTGGTTCTTTGCTGTAGCCAGATCCAGACATAGCTTTGTCCATTGAGACTGCTCAGACCTTAAATAAAGTGCGTTCTTGCCTTTTGCAGGCATACCATCCATAGTGGAACTCCAACTCCCTTGTAATTCATGACAAGCCTGGATGAGACCTTGCTTTGGGAGAGCCATACATAGGTCATGCATAGTGCTAATTAGTACCTTACCAAGCCACATTGTGTTCCTGATAACACAACTGCAGAAAGACTCCACAGCCTGTAATTCAGGGTCACAATGAGACCATTTCCATTAACACCGCCTGAGAAGTTTAATTGCCAAGCCTCAGGAGGCAGCTGGGTCAGGTGAGGTGTGCTTAGAGGTTTCCTAAGGTAACTTGTCTTTTCTCTGAGACAAAGAATCCCAGGCTGATTTGCTGATTGGTGCAACAAGGAATGTGAAATGATAGAGCTATGTGCCCACTGATAGATGAAAGCAGAAAAATCTCATGGAAGCAGAGTGCACCTTTCTTGGGTTTCTGAGAAGAGTCCTTATAGTGGCGCACAGGTGGTCTTAAATCTTAAGACAGACTTGCACGGGCCCAGCAGGACTGTTGGGATCTGGGCTGGACGCCATTCTCAGTATCTACAAATGCATCTGCTGAAATTCCAGAGAAAAATAAGAATTGGACTGTAGATGGGAGAGATTAGAAGGCATTAATTTTAAACAAGTTCTAAGAGGGGGTGATAGAAATAGTAGGAATAATTTTTTGGAAATAACCAGGGCCGTTCAGGATGCTGGAGTCCACTGCTGCACAGAAATTTTATAGTCATCTAAGTCACATACTAGAGACTCAAGAGCAGCTAATAATTTGAAGCTGAATAACTAATCTCCAAAGATAAACATTTTCAGTTATGCATGCAGAGAAAAATGTTAGCCGAGAATCATATTGACAAGCAGTGACGAGGATGCTATGAAACAGAGGAGATCTGCTTACAGCCTGAAGGAGGGAAGGGGAAAAAAGCTTCGCTACTGGACCAGATAGAAGAACATTTACCCCCAGCTGTCCTCTAAGATCAAGGATAGGCTGGACGCCAGTTGCCTACCGCAGGGAAATCAAGTGAGCATTAAGAACCCAAAAGAAGATGCCCAAGGCAAATATCTGGGAGAGGACGGAAAAAAAGATATGTAGTTAACTGGCAAGATTATAGCAGAGTGTATGAATATACTTGAACTCTGGGAGCAGCTCTCAGCAAAGCCCTGGATGGATCGCCAAGACAGGAAGACCCCTGGAGAAGCAGCAGCTCTACTTCTCTGGGCCCAAAGACTTGAACAAGGTTGATGGGAATTTAAAAGACTGAGAGTGCCTGGAAGCATTCTGTGTGTGTGTGTGTGTGTGTGTGTGTGTGTGCGTGCGTGCGTGCACACACACACAAACATACATATGTGTATATACAAAGTGTGATTTGAGAATGCGTGTATACGTATTATATACACACAGCGTATATATAGCTATTTATGGCTCAAGGCTTTGCTTGGCATTGAAACAAAACCCACCAGAGAATGGGTCAAATTATTATATGAATATCTGATCAGCCAAAAAGATCCTGCCCCTGGCCTTGTTCCACATTTCCCCACGTACACTCCACAAAACAAAAAATATCACCCAACAAACACCGGAAGGATCCTTAGGATGAAGTCTAATTCCTAAAATGTAATGGTTTAAAAAAATGCCCTCTAACTGGGTTGTTATACATACATATGCACGCATGCACAAATAAATTCATATTTCTTAGTCTTGAGTATGTCAGACAAAACATGTGCCGGTGAAAGGAATCAGGCCACTGTGGGAATAATGGTGGTTGATTCCAGGTTTGGGACTTGAAAAGTTCAAGGTGATCATGGAATTTCTGTACCAGAAAGCAAGGAAGTGCTTAAAAATTGATAGAAATGTGTTAAAACAAACAAACAAAAAACAGAGAAGGCAACTTGAAGAGGGTCACAGTGCCCAACAGTGCCCAAAATGTTGTAAAATTTGAGCAGCAAGAATAATAATGTCATGGATTATAATGATATGCTTAATAAAACAAATAATTCCTGAGTATATAATATTACCACACAAAAGGAGTGGGTGGGCTCTTCTTATGAAGAATGCCAGCTAACAGGTAGAGGAATGATAGAATTATGATGTAGCAGTTTTATAATCTCCCAAATAATTTGGGCAAGTATCATTTGTGCATGCTAAAACCACTAGGTGAATGTTATTGGAGCAGGATAGACACACAGGCCCAGAAAGAATCACCCCAGCAATTATATATTAATTACAAAAGGAAGCGTGTGACACATCGCAATGGAGAAATCCAGAAGTCACCTCCTTAACCAAGTGAACATAGCATCACCCATAGTGGGGCAAACTGCCATTCTGTGTCTCCTGATTTGGTATATTAAATGTTAATGCTAAGAAGGTCACAGCATCACCTGTGTAGCATTCTTGGCAAAAATGTTTAACCTGAATCTAATCATGAGAAAACAAGACAAATTGAAGTTCTGAGATAATCTACAAAACAACTGGCCTGAGCTCTTCAACATGTCAATGTTATGCGAGATTTAAAAAGGCAGGTGACTATTCTTGATTAAAAAAGATAGCAGAGGGCAACTAAATATGATGTATGAACTTTGGATTCTGGATCAAATGAAGGAAAAAAGCCACATGAGACATTATTGGAAGAATTAAGATATGTGCAAATATTCTTGTATCAATGACAACGTTCTTGACTATTATCACAGTGCTCTTGAGACACCTATTGAAGTATTGGGGTAAAATGTCATCATGATATCTGTAATTTTCTATCAAACACTTTTGTGGGAGCGGACAGGGCATTTGGGGGCTCGGGGAAAGGAAGCACATGTAGCAAAACGTTAGTTGGTGAATCTGAGGCAGAAATGAATATTGTAATATTCTCTCAATTATTTCAACGGTTTGAAAATTTTCAAGATAAGAAGTTGGGGGAAATCTGCTTGTGAGGCTACAGAGGAAGTAGTATCATGACACTCCACTTCAGTATAATTTATATTCTCAGGTATACTGAACGAAATATGTTAGCAAAGGAACCAAACATGAGTGTGTGGCCAAAAGGGACACATTCCTGGTTACTATGCCTGGAACAGTCAGATCTCATATTTGGGTATTTGTACATGTGCCAGGCCATTGTGCTTTAGCCTTGTTGAATTCCCTCAAAATCTCCTGAGGTAGGCAGTGTATGCTGCAGAGGAGGAAATGAAGACTCAGAGAGGTAAGTGGCGTGCCACTGAGTCACAGTGAGTAGATGGGCCAGAACAGAACCGCTGCCTGATGCCCTCTGCCTCCCGCTGACTATGTGGCCAGCGCCAGCAGCCCCGACCCTGGATAGAAAATCAAGACACGACTTTTATATAATGTTTGTGTGTTTGTGTGTGTGTGTGTGTGTATGTATGTGTATATATATTCCCACAAATATACATGGCTTTGTTAGAAATTGCAAAGACATTCACGTAATTTTACTCTGAACACTATCAATTTTGTAGTCCTCAATTACGAAAGAAGTTATCAAGTTGTTTAAAACTCTGTCACTCAGTACTGTCCCTTAAATTTATTACCGTAACTCAATATTCTGGTCAACAGAGTTACCACGTATACCACAGATTGCCAGTTTTGAAGCAAAAAAAAAAAAAAAAGAGATCATTTTGAAACTATTATACTTATTTGTAAAACTCTGCCAAATGCGATAAGTCCTTTATAACGGGGAAAATAGATAAAAAGACCATCATTTACTACAACGTCCCTTTTAGCTTTTCAGAATGCTCTCACAGTTATCCAACTTTTCATCGGCTCCATAACATCATCATTAACGTGGATGGACGCAAGTGTCGGTGCTGTAGGGATAGAGCTCTGTCTCCACTTATTTTATGATAGTTCCCAAGTTTTTCTTTTAAAAATACATTGCTTGACTCGTGTCTTGTTTGCCCAAATGTGGAGGGCAGACTGTGTGTCTTTGGCTGTGCTGCTTAGTAGAGAATTTGGTTTTGAGGAAGCCAGATCAAATTTAATCTTGGTAGATCAGGAAGCTGTAGCAAATGAAGGCAATGTGGCCTGGGAATGAAGAAAAGTAGGTAGAAAATAATTCCAGCAAAATGTTTCAGAGAGTGCTGGTGCAAATGTTTCAGACCGGTAGATGACCTGGGACCACGGGCTTCGACACCAACCAGGTCATACCTGGCATGATGACAGGCAGGGTTACACGGTAGTTAAGAATATCCCTTCAGGAGTTAGTCTGCCCAAGCTCAAATTCTGGCTAGGTGATCTTCTAGCTGCATGACCTTAGGCAAGTTATTCACCCTCCTTTCCCCCCCTCTGTTTCCTCATCTGAAAAGTGGGAATAAAATATAAGTCCCCACTGCAATGCCACCTAAATTTGGTACTTTGGTAACAGAGAGCCCCAGGGATCAAATAAAAGAAGTCTACCCCAAGCATCAAGAAGCTCAGAAATGTTTTCTTCCACTCAAAGTTAAGAGACACCCTGAGTCCCAGTGGTGTAGTACACATGGCTTAACACATCTGGCAATTCATGTGACCGAGACTAGCAAAGTCTTTGGATAGTCATTTGAAGGCAGCAGACAAAATATTCTAGAAAAAGACTTGGAATATTCTGAGTGACTTCTACCAGAAATGCAGTCACTTAGTTATTTGCAAGTTGTGGTTCTTTGCTGAGATATGCTATAGCCACCAGGGCATGGATACTTCAAACAAAAAAGTGCCCTCTGTGAAGCTTGTGGGAAAAATTCCTATAATGCAAAACCTCTGGCAGCATTTTAAGGGGCAGGAGGTACCTATTCCTGGTAGTCCAAACATTATTACCTTTAGGGATTGTAAAACAAGCAAACAGACAAATGAAATAAGGAACTATAATCCAGAATGAACATGAGAATTTAAATTTGATGAAACTGAGAAGAAGACAGAGTCTGCTTTTTATGTCCCTTTTCTTCCCTCTACAATCCAGCCTGAGTACCCAGTGCTGTCTTGCTGCTTTGGATCATAGGTTAAGCTACCCAGGCCTGTCCTACTAGGCTAGGCCTGCCAGCCCTAGTAAAAACTCCTTTTCTCTTAGCTAGGAGGAAAATAACTAAAGTTATAGATAAGGAGTTGCAAGTGGTTGACAGGTTTGAATTCAATAATTTGAATTTTAAAGGAGAAGTGTTCTTAATAGGGCTAAAATATGAAGGAACTATTTAAAGGAACAGACCTCTGGCCACTACTGTAGGCCCCAACAGCTAGCGCGCACAGACCCTCAAGGTAGGAGAATAGGCTTATCTTACTTCTTGAACTTGCCAACCTTAAGCTGGTTCGTGGAGCACCAAAGCAATGCCCAGATGTCTGGCTGGTGTCTCCACAGGGACACAATCCTTCTGCACAGACCCATTAGCAGCTAAGAGTGACTGTACTTACAGGTGAATATCACCACAAAGAGGTGAAATGACTTGGAACTGGTGAGCCAGTTTCAGTCCATTTCTTCCATGTCACTAACTGGGAGACTAATAAATGTGCAATTAAGATTCTCACTGGAGTGGAGCAAGACCCTGGACACATCACCCTGAATGCTTGTCCCTAGGGCCCACTATTTTCACATTGATGACCGTAAGGCACAGAGGAACGTGAAGGATAGGCTGGAAGAGGGAGGCTCTGAAGTGACAAAACGGCAGATGCAGTAGAGAGTGGCTGGGAGCAGGGACAGTTCTACCTGCTTTATCTAGGTGACAGCGGGAGCATTTATAAGCTGATGACGTGGATGGAGCCTTTCTCTTCTTTAACGTGTCCTTGTTCCTTCCCTGCTGCCTCCTTGAGTCCCTGCCCACCTTACCGCTGGGGTCGGAGGAGCTCTCTGCTTGGGTCAGCCCTGGTGACGAAGGCTGAGGGCACTCTGACAACACTGCCATCTTTGTTGATGTTCTAGAAAGCAGGCTACGGGTTGCAACGAGCTTGGTATTTTCTCAGCTGTGGCACGATGCACTTGGACTTCCTTTGCGATAGGCCCCTCATCGAGCGTGAAAGCTGGTTACCTTTTTCCTGCCAGAAAACCTGGCGCTCTCGTTCGCCGTATTTTCTGGGTCTGCTGGACCCTGCTCAAAAAACGCCTCAGCAGAGTCTGTCGCTCGGGAAAAAGCAGCCCCCGAGAAAAGGCAATTAAAGGCAGTGCTTGTCTCTGATTCTCGCTGGCGGCTGTGTTCAGGTGAAGACACAGGAAAGGCCAAGGCCCACGGCCCCCGCGCAGCCTGGCTCTGCAGAGAAGCAGCTCTCCAGAAGGTGGAGAGGAGCACGTACAGGAGCCTCCCTCGCGGCACAAGCTGGGGTGGGGGCAGGACGTGGCCATTTTCCTGTACAAGGAGGCAAATGTCCCACCTGCTAAGTCTGGAGAGGTGGGAGTGGGGGCTCCCATTTTTCTAAGAACACAGTTTGTCTCTTGGGCTCCATTTCCCCCCCTGGTACCACCATAGATAGGAACATCCTAGAATTAAAGGTCATGACCGAAGCCATGTGAGTCAGAAAAGTGTTCTACGTAAGGTAGCAAGTGACACATTCAGTGAATTTTTCTTAGAAAGTGGTATTGACTTCATCCTCATTGACTTCATCCTCTTTTGTGTAGTATGATGGTCCGAATGTTCGTGTCCCTCCAAAGTCACATGTTGAACCCCAGTCCCTAATGTGATAGTGTTAAAAGTGGGGGCTTTTGGGAGATGAGCGGGTCACCAGGGCAGGGCCCCTGTGATTGTGATTAGTGCCCTCAGGAAAGAGACAGAGGGATGGCTAGCCCCACCTCCACGGGAGGACGCAGTGAACGGGCCCTCACCAGACACCAGGGCCACCCGGTTTATGGTGTTTGAATTACAGCAGCCTGAACTAACACATATAGACTGGAAATTTGGATTTAATTCTGAAATCCCAGGAAAACAAAAGGAAGAGGGATCAATCTCATAATGTTATCTATACTTGGCTGTTCACTGGGAGGTTATAGGAATTGTCATGGAAAATACTGCCTAGATGGGTTCTTTACTGAACTGGTGATGATATTTTTTCATTATTGGTTTTGTTTATCAGACTCCATGTAAGAATATCTTGAATGCCACCACAATTTCACATTCAGTTTAGAAAAGATATATATATATATATGTGTGTGTGTGTGTGTATATATATATGTGTGTGTGTGTGTATATATATATATATGTATATATGAAAAAAAAAAAACTCAACACATCAAAACATACAACTCGTTTATCTCAGGATGATACTAAGCATTGGTTGTAGGAGTGACATAATCTCTGGTATGAAAAGTAAAGCCAAAGTAAGGATATCAATTAACTTCTTAGCACTCCTTGAGTTGGCCCCTCACAATTGCTTTTATTACTGGGTAGATAGTACGGTTATCCTGTCCCTAAAGTACAGATGCTCCTATTCAAATATAAGTTGAAGAATATTAAATCCATATAGTATCTGTTACATCCTCCATTATAAAGGGGCTGAAAGTGTGCGATTACAGATGGCCCCACCTTATTATGATGGTTCAGCTTGATGTTTTGACTTTATAGTGGTGCCAAGACCATGTGCATTCATTAGAAACTGTACTTTGGATTCTGAATTTTGACCTCTTCCTCTACTCTCTCACGGTGCTAGGCAGGGGCAGCAAGCTACAGCTGCAGTGAGCCCGGCAATCACAAGAGTGAACAACTGACGTTGGCGCCTTCCTGAAGGACACTGTGCCTGCTAAACCACCAACAAGCGCGATGCCCCAGCACCTGCGACCAGCTATTCTCGAACCTCCTCAGGAGAGGGAGAAACAGATGACCGGGTCATTGTTGCATCCTCATCATCCAGCAATTAATTTTAGCTCAATGCTTCCAACATTCTTCATGCCCAGTGTGCTTTCAGCCGTGTCAGCTAATGGTGAGTACTCACACAGCCATTCTGTTTTTCACTTTCAGCACAGTATTCAATAAATTATATGACATATTCAACACTCCATTATAAAATGGGCTTTGTGTTAGATGATTTTGCCCAACTGCAGGCTGATGTAAGTGTTCTGAGCACGTTTAAGGTAGGCTAGGCTAAGCTGTGATGTTCGGGAGGTGAGGTGTGTTAAATGCATTTCAACTTGCAATGGGTTTATCAAGACGTAGCCCCATTGTGAAGTCTAGGGGCATCTGTGTTTCTGGGAAGGGCATGCTTATTTTTTATTTTCCCTTTTGGAAACTTATTTTTGATTGTGACCTTCAGCAGCCCCAAATTAAGTTGTTTAACCCCCAAGTGAAGTTGTCCATTGCCCTTCGGTGAATACATAAAATAAACACCTTTCCAACAGAAAGGGTCCCTGTTCTCATTGGTGAGAAATACAGAGTTTCCTAGGGTGGTTCTCACACTTCTGTGCTGAGTCTGGAACTCTCCAACTAACATGTTGGAACACTGAACACCAGCTCCAGTGCTCTTTCAGCTTGGCTCTGCACGCCCTAATCTGCTCGACCGTCACTACTGTTTCACAAGTCCTTTCCTCCCTGTTCATGCCCTCTGTCACCATTCTGATCCAGGCTCCACTACTTCTGTCCTGGACAGTGGGGTCAGGCTGCTGACCTCCCCTCCTTTTCTGTTAACAGTTTCATGCTTCCCTGCACTCCCTGCCTCCTTGGAGAAAGGCATGGGCACGTACCTTGCCCTGCTCGGTGAGAGATGAACCAGAAATGAACTGTGGACTGCTCTCTCTCTCTGGTGGAGATTTATGTCATTCCAGAGAGTGCAGCCTGTGCCAGCAGTGCCCCTGACAAGAGTGTGGGGGAGCAGAGCCCCTTGCCAATGTGATATGGTCACATATGGGGGTAAGAAGTAAATTCTTTGTTTAAGCCACCAGGATGTTAATATTAATTTTGTTTTGTTATTTAGCTCAACCTGGGGAATACACCCTTCAATTCTCTCTGTACACTCTTGCCAGGGTAATAGTCTTAAATCACAGACCGGATTAACCCCTACTCAAAAGCCATCAGCAGTTCATCGTTACCCACAAACAGGAAACTCAAATCTCTAGCTTTCAAGAAAGCACGAGCTCTGTTCTCTAGCTCCTCTCCCCACTTTCTTGCCATACCTATGTTCCAGCCCTGTGTGCTCACGGTTACCTTCAAATGGTCATGTCTTGACTTGGGATGTGACCTTTCCTTGAATGTCTTTGCTCTGGTTATATCATGCAGAAGTTCAACCATCCTTTACAGCACAGTTCAAGTGGTAAGACTTTTCTGATCTCATAAGTAGACAAGTACTCCCTCTCATCTGGGATCCCTGAGCAAATTGTATCTCATTTGTAATACTTATTACTTTCTATTGCATAATGCAGTTATTTGTGCATCTGTTTCACCTCTCCTATTAGACTATAAGCCATCTTAAGGCAAATAAGAGTATTGTTTATTTTTGCAATTCTCCACAGCACCAAGCTGTATAGTTGCTCAATAAATAATTCATGAATTAAATATTAATCTTCAGGGGAGGATGATGGAGTTCTATTTTAAATTCCAAGTGATCATAGTTCAGTAAATGGCTAAAAATGCCACCTGTAGAGTAGACATGCATTATCCTGGTAAGCGTCCTCCTTTGGTGGGAGATTCTGCAAGACCACCCCTGGGTGAGGCATCAAAGAGAGCGTGGTTCCCAGGAAGGTCTGATAAGACTTTATGTTCATGGCCGGTTATGTGTCTGCATTCTGAAAATAAGAGGAAACGCTTATGCAATAAAAGACAAATATATTTAAAGACCCAAAAATGGTCTTTGATGCAGGCATGAAACTGGCTTCAGAGTGACCTGCCGTATTGAAGGAAGTTTCTCAAGGAAAGATAGCAGTGGGGCATTGAGGCCTTAGAGCCAGTTGTTGGAGGGGAGAGAAGAGACTCGGTGGAAATGGCTTCTTTAGAATAATCAGTGATGCAAAGGAGAACAGCCTAAGCGATTGGCTGGGAAATTCTTCAGTCTAGAGGCACAAGTCATGGAGATCACATCAAACCAGGCTAGGACGCTGTAGGTGGGAAAAGGTGGTGTTTGTGGGGAAGACATTTGTAAATTTGGTGCTGTTGGGTTGGATCTCTGTGGCTGTGAATTGGAAGGCACATGAGCTCAAGATCCAAGAGGAACAGGCAGTGGTGGAGTGTAAAGGAAGCATGTTGCTGAGATGGTGTAGAAGGGTGGGGAAATGTGAGGGGTCCACCTGGTCTAGAAGCTGTGCTGATCTAAATCTCCTTGGGTTGGACTAATTTTACTATCTGATCATAAAAAACCCTTGTAAAACTGAGAAGCCTACAGGCTATGCCAAGCCAACCCATGTGCGTTTAGATATGAGTTGAAACAAAATTTCCATACAATTATAGAAATTAACAAATTTATATTAATTTGCAAAGTACCGTTTTCTGATTAATGTTCCTCTTAAGGTAGCCAGATCATGTTCCTCCTTATTTTAGGAAAGGATTTAGGAAATTTGCCCCTCCCACACACACCGTGACGGGGATGTGAGAAGTGGAGTATTAAGACACACCTAGATTTCAGGTGTGGTAGAGGCGCAAACACGTTACACACTCTTGATGCCCAGAAATGACCTTAGAAACGGAAAAGCCACAGAGAATGAGACAGTTGTAGGTCAGAGCCCCTCTCCTGTGGTCTGTGCTCCTGCACTTTCTTTCCATTTGCTAGAGCTGCTCACTCTCTCACCTCTCTGGGGAAAAAAAAATGGGTGCATTTCTTTCACGAAGAGAAAATCTTTGGCTCTGATTCTAAACTTTAGAGTGGCAGGAAGAAGGAGAAAATGTAGATGTGATAAGGTATGTGTGAACAACTGTTATGTTCTCACTAAAATCATTTAGATTTTAATGTTTTGCCTCAGTGATTATGTTGGGGGTCAGTTTGGACTCAGGGCTGAAAAGACATTGGCGATATGAATGCAGAACATGACCGCCTGAGTCTAATGGCCGACCGAAAGACTAGATAAAACACCAGGCCTAAAGCTCTTAGAGTCAATAACCAGAAGGGAAACAGAAATTAGAAAATCAAAAAGCACAGGAACTTCAACAAAATATGATATAAGGAAGAGGATGAGCTTTGGAATCAGCTTAACCTGGTCCCGGATTCCAGATCTTCTACCTACCCTGGGCCAGTTGCTTAACCTTTGGCATCCATTACAGGGGACCTTACTCATGAGGGCACAAAGGTCAAGAATTGATGACTCTTCATTCAGACAGTCACAAACATTTCAAGTCCCCCCTTTACACTAGGTGTCTTAGAAATAATGGTGGGAAAAAAAGTTGTCCACCTTAAAGAAACTCATAATCTACAGAGAGTGATGTATAGTACAGTGAAATAAGTACCAAGAGAGATATGTACAAAATAGATAGGATGCCTAGAAGAGTTTAATAGTAGAGATTCTGAGCTTGCTAAGTATGTCCCGATAGAATAAAGTCACTTTTTAGAGACTATTGTCTAAAGCAATGATGCCCAATAGAAATTTCTGCAATGATGGAAACGTTTTATAACTGCGTTGTCCAATATGGTGGCCACCAGCCACATGTGGTCACTAGCACTTGAAATGAGGCCAATTTGGTTGAGAAATTGAATTTTAAATTTTAATTAAACAAATTTCAACAGGCACAAATTGCTAGTGGCCACCATAGTGGACAGTGTAGATCTTAAGGATGGTCCATACCTTTATTTAATAAGTATAGACAGTCACTGAGTGTGTCACTGTCTTTTTCTAGCTGCCTTGGCTTTGAGCTCTACAAATTCACTCTTCCCAGTCCCTGAGGCAATGAGAAACAAACCATGTTTAGCAATGTATAAAGACCACCGTTCTCACTGGTAGGTGGGTCTGGTCTTTGTGTCAGTAAGTCGATTTTGCCTAGATTATATTTCTGGAAGAGTACTTGTCACATTCTATCATCACAATAATGATACTCACCATTTGTGAGTACATTCTATATGCCCTTCACTCATATGCAGTGGTCTACCAATATTTACATCAATTAATCTTCCCACCAACTCAGTGAGTATGCTCCACTACTATTAACAAGTAGCCAGAAAGCAAATCTGTCTTCTTCTAAAATCCATGTTCTTTTCAGTATCCTATAATGTCTCTCTGAGAACCAAGAGTTGGTGAATAATTCCCTGTAGCCTGAGCAGGGGTGATTTTCATTCATTTATTCAAAAATTATTTACCGGCTGCCTGTGAAGTACCAGGCCCTACGCCAGGCAAAGTACATAGTAAGGGATCAAATAGAATTAATTATCCCGGCTGACACTGAGCATGTTTTCTAGTAAATGCTGGTTTTCCGGGGAAGAAATTTGGTAGGTTCTGTTAGGTAGCTAGGAATCTAGTGCTTACATGCTACAGACAGCATTTATACTGGAGCTAGTCCTCTGATGCTTGAAATGTGTGGCAATACTCTCTCATGGCTAGGACATGTGGGGCTTTTTCTTTTTTTGCCATTAAACCATTATGTTTCATTCACTCAAGAGTTAAAATCCTAGAATTACATCATGAATTCCACATATAAGCCAATTTCACAGCCACAGAAATACCCAAGATTAGTATTGAGGTAGCTGACCACAGCTCTAGGATAATTTCAGCAGGCTATTAACTATCTTCATAAAATTTAAATGCATGAGCAATGACTATGAATATTACTTAAGAATCTAAACACTTTATTGAATAAGTAAATGAGACAAAATAACAGCGACGACAGTACCAAATATGATATACCATATTGCATCAAATTATAAATTTTAAGACATATATCATGGTTTTATGTACCAGAAAAATGCTGCCAATTAAATTATGACAATGCATCGTCACATTGAATTTTTCCTTAAGACTTTAAAAAGAAGCTCTTTTAGCTTATTTAAACATAACTTTTAAAATATTACTCATC